TTGAATATTTTCGCATCAATATTCATTAGTGATATCGGTCTATAATTTTCTTTTCTTGTTGGGTCTTTTCCTGGTTTGGGTATCAAGGTGATGTTTGCTTCATAGAATGCGTTGGATAGTATTCCGTCTTTTTCTATATTTTGGAAAAGGTTGAATAATATGTACTAGTTCCTCTTTGAAGGTTTGGTAGAATTCTGACGTGAAGCCATCTGGTCCCAAGCTTTTCTTTTTAGGGAGATTTTGTATAGTTGATGCTATTTCAGAACTTGATATAGGCCTGTTCAACATTTCCACTTCCTTCTGGCTAAGTCTTGGGAGGTGGCGTGCTTCCAAGTATTGGTCAATTTCCTTCAGATTGTCATATTTCTGGGAATAAAGTTTCTTGAAATATTCATTACGCATTTTTTTTATTTCTAAGGAGTCTGTTGTTATTTCATCTTTACCATTTCTGATTGATGAGATTAGAGATTTTACTCTTTTTTTCTTGGTTAGATTGGCCAAATGTATATAAATTTTATTGACCTTTTCAAAAAACCAACTTTTTGATTTATTGATCTGTTGTATAATTCTTTTGTTTTCAATTTCATTTAATTCTACTCTAATTTTGGTTATTTCTTCTCTTCTGCTAAATTTGGGATTGGAATGTTCTTCCTTTTCCAGTTGCTTGAGATGTCCCATTAAGTTGTTAACTGCCTCTGTTCCATTTTCTTGAGGAAGGCTTGTAGTGCTATAAATTTCCCTCTTAGGACTGCCTTTGTGGTATCCCAGAGGTTCTGATAACTCGTGTCTTCATTATCATTTTGTTATCAAAATTGGTAATTTCCTTCTTGATCTTGTCTCTGACCCATCTATCACTCAGCATAAGGTTATTTAGCTTCCATGTTTTTGTATGAGACTGCAGATTCCTGTTGTTACTGAGTTCAACTTTTATTCCATGATGGTCTGAGAAGATGCATGGAATAATTTCTATTCTTTTAAATTTACTGAGGTTAGACTTATGACCTAAGATGTGATCGATTTTAGAGTATGTTCCATGGATTGATGAGAAAAATGCGTATTCAGTTTTGTTAGGATGAAATGTTTTGTAGATGTCTGTTAGGTCCAAAAGTTGAATAGTTAAATTTAAATCTAAAATTTCTTTGCTAAGCTTCTTATTGGAGGATCTATCCAACACTGACAAAGGAGTGTTAAAATCTCTGACTATGATGGAGCTGGAGGAAATCAAGTTGCTCATGCCTGTTAG